CATTTGAGATTGCCAGTCAAAAGAGCTGTTAAAATGAACACTATTGTAGCCTTAGTTATTTGTTCATTTCAGTTGCCGTATGGAGCAAAATCTCCGTTGGAGGCCTAATGCTGGCAGACGTCTATCCCAAAATTGGACAAACTGACGATCCTGAGAAATTTGCTGACATTCGTAAGGACGTTGTAGAGAGGTGGGCAACATTACTTCACTGAAGCTACAAAACAATTTTTTCCCGCCTAGTCACACACATGCGACAGCCAAGCTTCTTTGGGGTGCACTTAATCGCATTGTTTCTGTATCTTCCCTGTGTGATAATTTCCGAAAGACGTTTTTCTTTTGCTTTAATACGTACCCTCGAGCAAAAACATTTCGCGGATTTTTGGCATCTGAGGGGAGGAATAGGCATTGGTTGACCTTTTTAAATGTACGTAGAGCGAAATAAAATTGCCTGGAAAGGGGCATCGTTAGCGTAGATTTTAATTTCTTGATTATTTAAACCACACGACAGCGCGACTACTCAGCTGCATGGTCGTAATCGTCCGTTGTTAGAATACTTTCTGCTTGTATTTGCATTTCTATACAAGCACATTTGGGCAATTTTAAAATAAAATCTGTCGTGTTTTGAAATGCTTTTTTTTCATCTGCATGCAGATTTTTACGTTATTTACACTTTTTGAAAATCTACTATGATGACAAATGCTAGCATCCGTAGGTAGATTTTACAGTCTTATTTTCCCCCGAACGTTTAAAACTAACTTTGGACTTTCTCCCAACAGTGCATATAATATCATTCGATTGAAGGGATACACTTCTTGGGCTATCGGCCTTAGCTGCGCCACCCTCTGCCACGCTCTGCTGCATGACCAACATAGCATTCTGCCAGTGTCAACGAACGTAAAAGTAAGTTTTCTCCACGGCCTCGTAGAGTGAACCATTTCTGTCTCCTTCGTCTCATCCATTGGCTGCCTTCCATGTATTTGGAATAATTTACTCCATTCTCAAAGCAGGAAGTAGCTCCACCTGTGAGACCTGCGAAAATGTACTTCTGACGGTCGACTAAAGTCTTACCACATAACATTTTCACTTCCGCACAGCATTAGTCATATTGGGAGGAAAGATATTTTTGGGGTTACAGGATATACTAGTAGCACAGGTAACAGCTAAAAACCCAGACGCGCCTGTTTCCCCAATATTCTTCAGCTGCATGGCACATCTGCGAGGGGTTCGTCTCATCATTGGGTCCCGTAGTATTTTCCGTGAACTTTTTCGTAGATACACTAGCTTAGAGGCTAAAAAACAGCAAAGTCTAAACTGGGGAGTCTACCAGAAAGCGCACGGGGCGACCCACTGATAAGCCGAACCCCTCGCAGATGTGTCATACAGCGACAGGATATCGGCGAAACAGGCATGCCTCGGCCTCTAGCTAGTACCTATGCTGCTATTATGGTATTTGGCGACTCCCAAAACATACTATTAGCTGCCTATCGGCAGATGATGAATATTGCGCGGCTTTTTCGCTCTGGCTGATGGACTTCGGCCCAAATACTCATACATCTAATTTCGGTCTGTGCCTATGACCTTAGGATAAACTGATTTACTCCAAGTTAGCAGTTAATTTCTGAGGGAATTAGGAAAGATATTCATTTAAGTTAGTCGCAAACCCTCGTCTATGTCCTTTTTGAATAAGTCTTCCGAAGACTACATTAGGTCGAGATATCAGACCTATAGTCATTCAGAGCTTGTTTGTGAAACTTTCTCAATACGAAAGCGCTCTTATTGTGAAAGAGCCGCTGTTATCTTCACGGAATGAATGATAGGAAAATTCGAGTTATGTTTTTCAGATGCCATGTTGGCCTGTCGAAATCTGATGTGTCTTGCTTACATTGGAGACCTCTCAAAAGACAAGTTTCCAGATTCCGAAAATGTAGTCTTATTAACGCAAGTCGTGGTTTCTCCAACGGTATCAGTCTAAAACATGGCGAAATTCGCGCCAGAGATAATGCATTTCCTATCCCAAACTCAGTTCCCTTGTAAGTTGTTTTGCGAAGATGTGCTAAAATTAGCATCCGTCACAATTCTTCTGTTTACGAACGCGGAGTAATTTTGGCCTCTGATATAATAATTCCAGCAAATACATAGTCCACTTAAATAATTTGGGTAGCAAGTGTTCAGAGATTTAAAATTCACACCAATGTGATCAAATATTACGGCATACCTTAGTGAGTCATTCCTATAAAGTCTATAAAATGCAGTCTATGCAACTTTTCTGCGAATATGGTGGAACTAAAAGCTGTCCTTTTCCATTCAAGGGCCTGTTTGGTATAGACTACGATGTCTTTCTCAGTATGCCCTGTGTAATCAGCTCAGACGGGATCATGTCTATCGTGAACTTGGAGCTCTCCGAAAAAGAGACAAAGAGATTCAAATCCAGTGCAGAGATCTTGAATGCAGCAAGTTCAGATCTTGTATGGTAAGACAATCGACAAGGAGCGGAATGCATACCTATCAGTTGTGGCTTTCTATCCTGTCATTTCTGCAATAAATAACTTAATCCCTGTTTACTTTTCTGGAATGCATTCAAAACCTGTTTGCCGTCAGTGAAATGGGCTTTGAAAGTTTCGGTAACGAGTTGTCACAAAAGTACAGGACCCGAGGATGGAACGGCACACAGGTTGCAGGCATGAGTAAGCATGGGATCTAAAGTCAGAAGGCCATTACGACAGTTTATCCATCGCCTGCGGCGACGATTATTGCTATCTCACAGAGGGCACAGTATTGGCTTGGAACCGTAATGACTTTATCCGTAATGAGGAGCGACTAAATGGCATCTGCCCCATGATCTCTTGCCCTGATCGCGTGTCCCAAATGCGAGACAGATTCAACATCTCAGAGGATGTGCGTGGGCGTAGTGTCTGAAGGGAATCGGGACATTTCTGCGCGTACATACCACATATGCGGTGGCCCCAACTTCGTGTGAAACAGGCGTAAGTGAAAGAATCTTGGAATTTACATGAAGGCGAGTACCGTAGATGTCGTACTGAGAGGAGTCGATTGCAAGTCGACCTTAATTGTTCGATGGAATCCAGTTATAACGCCAGTTGGTAGCGGTATGCACCCCAGCTGTTAGCTTGCCAGGGGGGTTTAAAACTGTACTTCACGGCATATAACGAACTAAGTCTGGGTTACGACTGGACGGAAACGATCTTAATATCTTTTATATCTCCTTTTCTAACGACGACTCTAAGTCAGATAGAGTGTAGAGGATAGTGGACATGGCACTGCGTGTGCCACATACGTCCTCGTCATTACAAATTGACGTGTACTCAGCAGGGATGTTAGATCTCTAAATCATGAATGAGGCTGTTAAGGCCGCGTTAAGAGGTTTCATTTTCATCCTGACCAGCGTTCTAGACGGGACCAGGTTACTTGTGCAGCTGTGGTATTTTAAACAGCGTTAGATTTACAACGGTGAGGTGTGGGCCGAATTTCAAAGAGAGGGGGAGGGGTTATTTCACTCTAGGTCTCACCTGATTTTCTCTCACGCGTGCACTATTGATCTCTTTAGCTAAGCGATCAAACGCAGGCAGGATTCAGTGCACTGGCTGGATTCGGTCAAAGTCATAGCCTAACGATTCGCAATTGGCAGTTCCACCACCGAATAAGACTGCGCCAAACAGTGTGGGTGAAGCAAAGACGACTTGCTCATGAGTGATGCAGACCTCAATAGAAGCGAAGAGACGAGTCCCAGGAAGCAGTCTTGAAGAAGAAGAAGAAGAAGAAGAAGAAGAAGAAGAAGAAGAAGAAGAAGAAGAAGACAGGATCGCCGGGACAAGAGCTTTATTAACCTGACGTTTCGGATTCCTGCTCGAATCCATCGTCAGAGACAAAAGCAGATAAGGGTGGTTCATGCATATGCGTCTGCAGTATTTATAGAATGCTGTAGCCATGCTACCGCATACCTATAAATATTCACGGCTCCCCCCTCCCCTTCATCAGGGATCGTTGCATGTGGCGTGATGGCGTCGTTAATTGCTGCAATTATATCACGTGCGTTGGATGTTGGTGTGATGACTGCTCGACCATCTGACGCGGATGCAGACCTCCCTTCCGGTGACAAGGAAATGCCAAGACAACCGAAAGTAGGCCCGGGTGCAGTATCTGGCAGGGTTAAACATCCCGTCTACGCGAGCCAGACATGGTGTCAGGTGTTCGTGAGGGTGGTCTGAATCTCACATGCGCGAGAATGCCATGGCAGCCACACTTAGAGGGGACTGTTGAAGTCTGACCCTCAGGCCTGGGGAGAGGTCAGTCATCTCGCCAGTTGGCGGCTTTTCAATCCGGGACTTCGAGCGCGTCAAGTTTGCTTCATCGACGAATGTGCTTATGCCCCTATGAGGATGGATTCCCGAGAGTCGACCGAGAGTCTCCTCCTTCTCTCTGTCATCAGTCGACTGTCCTAGCTTATCAACCAGCTGGTAGCGGAATTGGATGCAGTGAGGATTACGCTTAGGTGTACGGTCACACCTCCAGTTCCCACAGATGTTGAGGATGTTGAGCACTGAAAGTCGAAATCTGCCAATAAATTACCTGGTCTTTGTTAACTATGGAAATTGATTCAGATTATTTAGTTTACAGTTGACATTTCAAACCGATTCATTAAATTTAACAAGAGTATCATGTGAAGCAGGCATTTTCTCGAAAGAGTCAAATTAAGAACATTTGAACAGTAGATTAAAACAATGTTTTCCCGGGATAAATTTGAACAGACAGTACACAGCCTTTGGAGAATGAACATTCTTGCTGAGTCTGAGTAAAATAATTTTTAATTCAAGAGCTTCTTCTTAGTTGCAAGAAGAGCCGACTACTGTTTGCATCAGATAACTATTTTACATTAACCGCCCAATAGACTTCTTCCAATCGTTACGCGTTCAAACGTGCATCACCAAATCCCTTGTCAACGGGCGTAATTCGGTCGTTACAAATGACTTACTTCATTAACCAGAAGTCGGAAGCTGTGTATTCTGCAGACTGCCTTTATACCTATATTGCTCTCTCCTAAGAAATTTGCAGAAACCAGCACAGGGTCTATTAAAGTGGTAAAATTTCGAAGAAAAAAGTCCTCCTTCTTAGAGCCCACTTGCTTCAGATAACCCTCGACTTGTCTTTGAGTTTGGTTCCTTAATTCTTTTAAGGTTGCCTTGGCTGTTCACCTGTGTGACTTAAATCGATTTCTTTCATACTTATAACATATGCCTATGCTGGAAGATCGTTTGCCGATGAGGTTGCCAGAAATGTTTGTTCCGTTGTGTTTTATCGGTATTTTCCTACTGCATATACTACTTATATGCTGTGCGACTGTCAGCGAGGGCTCTAAGTGGAACCCCAAAGCAGAAAGGGACAAGCAGGTCTCGTAACCCGACTGATGAACGCACTTACAACATGATTAACATTCCCAATCGTAATCGAGAGAACAGTGGTCCCGTTGTCCGGTGACAGAGCCTCGGATTTGATAACGCTCGTTGAAAAATGAACGCAGATTTAGGAACTTGGGTTGCGGTACTTCTGGCTAACGGCGGCAGGTAAGTCGGCTATGACTAGCCCGGTTTCCTTAGTCTTTGTCGGTTTTGTACTCCAACTTTACATTGAGATTTCCTGCAATAATTTCATTTCTTTTCTAAAGATCTGTCTGTTCGCATGGCCAATGAGTAGAAAGACCCGAAATAGATAATTCTGACATCCTCCTTTTCCTCCAAACATGTGTACATTTGCACTGACCGAAGCTCTAATAATAAGACAACCTATTTTCTTCGTATGTTCATTATGATCCTCAGTCACAGATCTTGTTATATTCTAATGTTGATCTCAATATTGTATTGAAATAGCTGCCGCTTCGTAAAGAATGTTCGCATTCAAAATAATTTTATCACTCGGTTTCTTCGGCGAAAACACTGTTCACAAAGAGGTTAGCAGTACTACCTTAAACGGCTATAGAACTACAGGATGCGGCATCTTGCGTATTCAACAGTGAACGAGTTTCCAGTGTCAACAGTTAAACAGCGGCAGTTTTTTGTCTCCAAAATTGGCCGTTAACTCAGCATGCTCAACAAGCATGCCACGAAGATTTTGGCGAAAAACAAAACATTCATTTCAGACAAGCTCCGTCTTCTGACGCATACGGTGCATGGTTTTAAGGTTGTAGATTTGTCTCGCGACAGCAGAAATTCGAGAAAAAAACGTCTGGGTTTTCAGCTACCTCCTGTGCGTGACGTTTGTTAGGCAATCCTCACTGTAAAAAATCTGGCCTATCTCATGCCATGTAAATCGAAATTTTGAAATCAGTCTTCGATTAGAAGGTATGACATCGATGAGGCTGTAACTCTGATTACCGTAAAACATAATCCAAGATATCGGAGTCACGACAGGACGTCGACTTTTTAATGAATTTTTTTGCACGTGCCTACAAACCCGTAGTCAATAAAACAAGGATTGCATAGGTGACAGAAATTATTTCCCATTGATTTTCAGAGCCTTTCTAAATGCAAATACGGTCTATGGAAAAGATGCCCAAAATTATTTATTTTCGTACATATCCGGCGTCAAATTATTTCTTAAAATTCTTCGTTGCAAGAAAGGGTTTGTCTAGGTCTTAGGAAACAATCACAGTTACCAAATACATTTTGATCACGCTTAGGGTCCGAAAACTACATTCTGTGCGTTTTGTATGGAAGGATAATCACAGATTTCTCTTGGCTATTAGGAAGAGAGAACACAGACCTCACAAAATGTTGAAATGGGGTCCATTTCTTAAGTTCATAAGGGGCATTATCATATGAGCAGTTAGGTTACCGAATGAGTAGACAAATCACGACCTTAAAATTTAATTATTGAAAACTATCTAGATAGTAAAAAACCTTTTCATCAAATCTATAATTTAGAGAGGACGCAATTTTCTATCCAATAAGTACAAGAGGCAATATCGTTTTGTATATTTTTTTAAAAATATATAAATCTTAAGAGAGAAAATCGTCGAGGAAAATTCATATTATATCACATATACATATTTACATACCACGAAGCAGTCAAGGTCAAGCTGTTGGTTTTAAATTTGAAGATAAGTGGAGGATATTATTTTAAGTGGTTTTTCTGTGAAACATAACGATTTTAGCTCATGTTTTTTGGTCAAATTTCCTTAGATAGAGGCCTATTCACTCAGAACTGCCTGTTGCCATCTCCTTTTTGAGTTCTGCTGGTCTGTGCCTGTTGACCACCAGTCGCACTCTGCAATTCGCCCCTTGTGCATTCGATTTCTCTCTAACCGTGTAATTTGCTTTTACATCGTTAGCCTCTAGCTGAAATTCAGTCACCTTGTCTTCCAGAAGTATTCTTAATCACAACTTGTCTCGAGACAGGATAAGACCAAAAGTCACTGGTCGACGTAAGCTCTCGACCTCTGTACGTAAGCATGGCTCACCTA